TTTAATATAAAAAAATTATAATTATTAATTAGATTTTACAAATTTTTTATTAGAGATAACTAAAAATTTTATTTTTTGATATATCTACATTTTTGTATCAGATTATAATAATAATATTTAAAATATCTTTTTATTTAAAAAAATAATTTTATTTTAGTTTTTTAATAAAGTAATACTTAAATTAAAGTATAATAGAATTATTAAAATAATATAAAAAGTAAATTTAGATCATTTTTTATTTAATATAAAAAATTATAAAGATTAGTTAAAATTTGAATAAATTTTATTAAAAGTAATTATTAATTTTTATATTAATATATTAATTTTTTTGTAATAACTTATATTTTTATTTAATTAATTTAATAAAGAAGCTAATAATATGAATAATTTAAAGTAATTAATTAAATCTAGTATATTTTATAATAAAAGTAATAAAAAAAATGATTAATTATAAGATAAATCAGATTTTAAGTATATATATATATTTTGAATTTTATATAATAAAAACAGATTATATAGAATAATATATTATAATATAGAATTAGATTATATTATTATATAGATTTCAATTTATATAATATTAAATATAAGATTAGATCTTATAATTAGTAAAATTAATAATATATAAAATTCAAAAATCCAGAAAAATTTGAATCATATTTTAAGAAATTTATTTAGATAATAAAAAAAATTTGATTTTTACAAATAATACAAAAAAATTTAATATTATATTTTTATTTTTTAATAAAATTAAAGTATATTATATTAAGTATTTTTAGTAATTTTTTACTTAAATTTTGATAATTATTAGTTAAAATATTATTAAAAGATGAACAACTTCTTTTAACAGTACAAAAAGAAATAGATATTTAAATATAATCAAATATTATATTACTTAAAAAGAAAAATAAGATGCAATATTATTTTAAAAAATATAAAGTTGATTATAAGTTATAGTTATTAAATCTAAATTATAATAAAAAATACATTCTTAGATAAAGAATTAGATAATTCAAATATTATAATTATTAATAGTTAATTAAAGAAAATAAGAATAAAAAATTTGAGTTATTTTAAAAAGAAAATGAGAAGAATATAAATTAAAATAATCAAAAATTTTTTTTGTGTTATACTAAAAGCTAATTGAAAAATAGAATTATAAGCAAAAGAATTAGGATTATACTTAAGAATTACTAAAGTAATATAATATTCAAAATTATTAATAGGAATATTATTTGAAATAAAAGTTTTTAATTATTTAATATATCCTTCTATAAAAGAAGAAAGAGAATTGTATTTAAATTAAAAAAAAATCTAAATCTGAAATAAATTATTATGCTTGATATCAAATAAGTATTAAATAAGTTTTATTATTTGAATTATTAAAAATAGTATTAATAGTATTAATTATTTCTATTTTTCTTGTTATTCTTATTGTTTTTTATAAAATTCACATATATATTCTAAATAATTATAAATATAAAAAGCTATTTCAAATTAAGAATTCCACTAAGTAATATTTAATAAAAATATAAATTGTAATATCAATATAAAATTAATAGCTTGAGATTCTTGATGGAAAAATTCTTGAATTTATATCAAATTAAATAATTCATATAATATTACAATAATTTTTGGCATAAATGAAAGTTTTTTTGATATTTATCAATAACTTTTTTACAATATTAAAATATATAATCAAAATTCATGCTTTACTTTAATAAATAAATAAACATAAATTATTTAATTTATATTAAAATTATAAAATTATACAAATACTAATCTAATTAAGTTTAATATATATATAGAATAAGTATTATACTTAAGTTATAATTTTAGTAAATATAAAATCTCTTGATAATATTTCTTTATATATATAGTTGAATTAGATAGAAAAAGTTATGAAACTGAGAAAGAAATAGATTATTTAGTCAAAATTCTACTAATTATCTAATAGTTATATTATTAATCATTTGCAAGTAATTAACTAATATAAACTTTGTTGAATTGTGATAATAGAATAATGTGTTTACAATACTATGAGCTTGAGAATCTGTAGTTTCATTAATAATAATTGCTACAGATTTTTCTTGAAATTCAGTTTGCAATGCTTGGATGTGATTCTCAAATAAGTTGAACAAATATCTGCAATGTAAAGTATTAGTAGTAGGAATAGTATCATCTTCATGATAATAAGTTTCCAAAAATAGCCAAAATTTATTGACTTTTTCAAGAGGAATATTGCATTAATAAAAAACTTATTTATTACAGATTTTTTAATCTCTGCAGCTCGTATAACTATTTGTATATCTTATTGCTATTTGTGTCATTCATTTTTAATATGTTTATTTTTCTTTGTTGTATATTTTTTTATATGTAAATGAGAGATGATAAAAGAAATATTATCATAACTGATGGCACAACAGCAGAAATGATACATGAGAATGGAATTTTCAGCATAAAAGTTGTTAGGATATTTTCATGCATGAGATGCTGCTGTAATTTTTTTATTGAGCAGCATTTGATGTGTCATAGTTAGAAAGAGGCAAAACATGTAATCTGAATAAATACTCCTGTTATATGCACAATGATATATGCATAACAAAAATAGTAATGTTTAAATTCTGATAGTACTACTCAGATAAAAAAAATTTGAAAACTTGACTATTCTCAAAAAATTTGGCTATCGGGAAAAATTTGAAAAAATTTGTTTCCAAATTTATCCGGGTCCCTGACGGGGTTAGTGAAGTTAGTATATGTAACTGGATGTAGCAATGCAAAGCCTCAGATTGATGCATCATTGGAAAGGTGTACCAATAAGGCGCCGACTAATGAATCGAAACAAAATTGAATTCATTAGTCTTGGTGATGCGATAAAAATGGAATCGTGATGAGAATAATGGGAGGAATTTGATTATAAATAAGGAGGACTTTAGAGTAGAAAAGTGATATAGAATTACAATTAAGAATTAAATTCAATAGAACTATAAAACAATTCACCATTGTAATAAAAGTTTTTATTAAATAAAATAAAGATTTCTATTATTCTTAAATAAACGCATACATTCCTTCGAATCATTATTGATCTGTCCCCACACTCTCTATTAATAAAGTAGTTACCCTAAGGCTACGAACACTACCTTCTTAGGACTTGGAGAATCCGTTCAACTCGATAAAGGGTCGGAGTATTGATCGACGAAATTATAAATTAATTAACGGAAAACTAACTGGGAAACAACCCGTGATCGTACAGTCTCACGGATACTCGGTAGATCCCCCATAAGCCACCGGGTAACAACGGTTAAGCAATTTTGAGAGATGCGAACGGAATATAAGAAATGCATCTGCCTTTTTTCAGAAATTTATACAATATTTGCGTCTGAAAAGCATATGGAGTTTTTAAATTCTGTATGATAGTTTCCGTATGTATTTGTACGGGAAACGCGCATACGGAATTAATCCATGACACACTGCTGAAAAATTGCTTACAACATCACGTAAAATTCCTGATACGTTTTTCCCATGGGTGAACAAATTACATGTACATGTAATTAATATGAGAGGCAAAAAACTAATTCTAAGGATAAAATACGTAAATATCTCACTTGGGTCAAAATTGAGACGAAATATCAATATTTGATTTTTTCTTATGGAAATTATTTTGGAATTGTAAGGGAATCTTGTTGAGTATTAGTTCGGAACTTTATAGGATTTTGCGATATGGAAACCTGAAAAATTTGTGATATTAATACGGAACCCGTTACAGGACGTTCCGTGAACTAAATTCTGAAAACATTAATATTCTATAAAAAATCTGTGTTTTTTCTAGAGGATTATTTGAAATCGTAATGATTAATATTTATTGTAAGTTTACAGTATTAATTGTAATATATTACATTTGATAAGGTTTGCTCATATTTATTATATTTATTATTATTATATTATTATTATTAACTATCATTATATGGAAATGTCATCTTTTTCATTCACTTTATGTTTTTCTACGGGGAATTCCACCATAGTGTGCCGTTTTTCGATTTTACAACGAATAATCCCTTGATAGAGTCTTCCCACAATTGTAGTGAGAAGACTAACTCCAGCAGAAATGAGTGCGATTACAGGAATCACAGAGTATGTAATATTTTTCCGCCAATATAGTACCTAAATAATAGCGCAAATAAATTGAATTTATATTAGAAAGTTTATAAAAATAACAAAAATGATAAAATACAAACCCGAATAATAAACTGTGGCAAATCTTCAATAAGCAAATTAAAACAAACTCCACAAAAAATCAGAAGTTCCGCCCGGTTAGAAAAGGTTGCCGAAAAAATCCTTAGCCCACCAATACGGGATGACAATACATTAAGAATATCGACATCCGCACACGCAGCCAATGTAAACATAGCGGCTACCTGTGGATATTTTCGAAACCAATCGTTAAATTTATCTTCGCGCGAATTCTCTGATAATAATATGTAAGATGCCATTCCACTGTTGAATACAATTGGAATTATAAAAGAGAGGATACTATCGATAAACAAATGATATTAGTTGGATAAATTCATCGTATTTTATTTGTTAGAGTGATTGTAAGCTTTTTTCTACCTTGGTATAAACAATTCCTGAAAATCTCTCCCATTTTTGAAGACGAAAAGCACATCAAAAAAGAAATCTTGAATTATTAATGCCACCGTGATAACCATAAAATTTTTAGCCTATAAAAAGAAAACAAATTTTCTTTAATGAAAGTAACGCACAAAAATACCGAGGTTAACAAAATATTTTACATCTTTATTTCGATAAACAGCGTATAGGTAGATAACTATAACAGCACAGATAATTGCGCTAGCAAGTATAACCGTCATCTTGTATAATGACCACAAATTTCCTATATAAAAAGATAAAAGATTTAATTCATGTAACCTTTGCAGATTAAATTTCAGAACTTTACACACCTGTAACTTGGAAGTTATAAGAACTATCGAGCCATGCAGTATAATTTTCTTGAGACAGCATTGTGTACCTTATATTTGCGAGTAATGTAGCGAAATCTTCGATAATATGAGACACATCTTGATATTTATTAGTAGCATTATATGTAATGTACATTCTTAAAAGAATTCTGGGCGGTGTGACACTTTGATCATATTGATAAGCGTCATGAATGTTTATTTGATCCCGGGAAACAGGAATTGCTGCTGCTATTTGGTCAGAGAGATTTCTCAGCACAGAATTGCCGTAGTTTTCGTAAGCTTTGATGAATTCGTCTGAGCCATTGGCAGTTAAGCGGATAAGGCCACTTGCTGAATCTAAAGCCAAATATAAAAAATTATTAAAAAGGAATTTCGAAGAAGCAAACATATAAAAGATAGAGTACCCGTCTGTAAAGTTTCATTGTAATTTCCTAAAGAAACAAAAAATTCTGGTTAAAGTTCTTTACAGAAAACATAAGAGAGCTACTTAAATATAATACCTGTCTTGAAAGTCCAAACATTTGTATCTATACCAATAAGCGGCTCCTTATTACTCGCAAGTTGTACAAAATTCGTATCAACCACGATGTAATATGCAGCTCCTGGAACATTAAAAGTACTTTTAAGTGCGGTGAATGATACTTTAGTATATCCAGAATCTGGCAAATATTCGGTAGTTTTATATTGAGTTTGTTCACGAAATAAATCGCCATTTTGTGATTTTTGATAAATTGTCACATTCCCTGAGCCAAGAAGTACTTTAGCATTATAAATAATAGAACATGAAGTTGAGCGTAGTTCGATTACATCATCAATAGTTGGCTGAGTTGAATTAATATTGGGATTGTAGTAACGTTCATCTAAAGAGTTATAATAAATATAAGTATATAATTATATCATAACTTCAGAATATAGTCTAAATATTAATAAATTACCGTATTGTTTTAAAGTTGGAAGTGGAATTGGGTTTACTCGCCAGGTTCTAGAATCATTCCGATCAAAACGCATGTAAAGCAAACTATTTTCATTTTGAAAGATGTTAAGTTTAACTCCAGTTCCATCGCCGAGATTATAAGTTTTGATGGGTAAACCGGTTGTATTGTAAAAAGTTGCGAGAAGATATGTTTGATTTGTAAAGCCAATCACCACATGACCACCAGCAAACACATCATAGAATGAGTATACCGCGTAATTAGTTACATCGTAATTTTGCAGTTTTTGAATAGAGGTCAAAGATCCTCCTGAGAGAAAATTCACGCTATAAATTAGTGGTGCCGGTAATCCACTCATTGCAAATGTGAGAAAACATGAGAAGCCAGTGCCATCATATGCTCGATGACAAGGACCAGACGTAAGAATTGACCATGGTATGGTAGTTTGATAAATGATAAATAGTTCCGAAGGTGTGTTTACATTATCCCATAAGAAAGTCATATAAGCCGTCCAAGTAGTTGCATATGTCTGATTTAAAGCGTTAGTCGGAGAATTGGATACCGAATTATTGGATACAATAACAGTTCCGTATCCACCGTCGAGCAGAGAGAATGTTTGAAATTGAACCCCAGTTTCTTGAGGCGTAGCAACATAGAAAACTCCTTCACCCAATTTATGTACAGTTCCATGTTCGTCACTAAGAATTATTTATTTGTATTCTTTAATATTAAAAGATTTTACGATAAACAATGATCAACAAAAAAAAAAGGGGAAAACCCTTACGGTGAAGTGAATGACATCCATGTTATCGTGTTATTCGGCCAAATGTACGTTCTAATGAATCCACCCGCCGGATTTAAGCTAACTGTAACCATTTCTTTTAGGATATAAGATTGACCAAGAGAAAATGTGCTAATATTAAGAGAACCGTTAATAAATCTATCTATTATCTTTTAGTTATTAGTCGTATCCAATTATATAGGAATCAACTACCTTATTACTTCGCCTGTATAAGAAAGAATAACTCCCGTTTCCTCATACGTTGCATTCGGTAAAGGAATTTGATCTCCAAAATCCCAAAAAGTAAAAATAATATAGTTTGGTTCCAAAAGAGAAAATAAAATATAATCATTTGGGCAAAAGTTGGTTCGAGAAATATTTAACGTGTTTTTGGGTAGATCAATTTTGTCGATTTCGCCAGTTGGATGAATTATTCGAAGATGTATGCTTGGTTCATCGGTATAATTACAAGCAGTTAGAGAATTGCCTCTAAGTAGTCGTATGAGTGTTACCCCTTTTCTATCTATATAGGTGTTAAATAATACCAATCCATCAAGCTCTTCAGTGTATGAAACATTATATGCTGCATTAGATCCTGGAACATTCGTTAGGAGCAATAATAAAGATCCAAGAATAATTATGAAAATTATTTTGAAATTAAGGTGAATTTTATGCATTGTTTTTATTTTAGCATTCAAAAATTTTTATCATTTGCAAATAAAACAAAAGCACGAATAAACTTAGAACCTTTTTTATAATAGAGAAAAGTTTGCCTATTTTTTCCTTTTCTTATCAAAGCGCATATATATACCTGTTCTTTACAACTATGTTTTCCTGAGGGCATGCATTAACTGAATGCAATTGTGCAGCTATTGAAGGCAAAGATTTCACGTAACACTAAACGTAAATTTTAAAGGAGCACATGTAAGAATACTGAACGTAAATTTTAAGAGCACATGTAACAGCTAAACTTTCTCTTAGATACAACAACAGAATTTTATTTATTATTCCAAATATTTGCTATCCCTGGTAAAATTTTTCTCTTATCAATATCTTATTTACAATCCAAATTAAAAACCAATAATAGTGGGCGTAACTATGTTTGCTTAAAACAAACAAATGCATTATTAACCTGCATAAACGTGTGTGGGTGCCCATTCATTTGCATTTACTTGCATTCTTGTACGCGAAGAATCACATTTATTTTGGCAATAGACAAATAGATGACGTGAAAAAGAAAAATATAGGTTTTTTCTTCCCCTTGATTGTGTTTCAATTATAATTTTTGCCTTTTTCTGTCAAAAGTATTACAAAATACAATAATACATGTACATGTAATCTGCATGCTACACGTAATACGAACATAGATTACGTGTTCACCATTTTTAGTTGATTGCCATTTTGGTTTTATCTTGATTTTATTTGAACTTCTAACTTTCTTACAAGTAGCCTCACCCATGTCCTCTAATTGTTTATCTATGCAATAGCACAATATAACGATAATTAAACATTTTCCATAGAAAAGTTGCGTATCAAGAATTTGTTAGTTTTAAATCATACATATTTATATGGTAAAAAATTAATAATTCATTAAATCTATAAAGTTATTGCTAATTTACATTAAAAATTATAATATTAATTATGCCTGATGCTATTATATATAATTGTTATTATTAAAAGATTGGTTTGATAAAATTAATTGTTCTGATTAGGTGCGAAAAGTAGCAAATATAAATTCATTAATAACAAATAGTTCTTCTTTATATCAGCTGACAGATACAGTGGCTTGTGGATTTCCAGCAACACTGTTAACAGTATCTACTAACAGCGCTCCAACACAGCGTTTCTTTTTACAACCGCCTGTAACGGGACCCCAAATTCCTTGAGGCCCAGCTTGTCTAAAAACCAAAAATACTTACTTGTTATTATATGATTGATTAATATTGTAATATATGTATAGAAATGGTTTTACCTTTTTCGCATTAAAACTGGAGATGCGCTAGATTCATTCACAAGTGTAATAAACAGAAATAACAAAAGTAGAACCTTTAATATTTGAGTATCGTGCATTAGGAAAATTTTTAAGATGATTGAGTTAAAAAAAGTTTAATAAATTTTTGCTTAGTGGTGGTATTATTATAATCATTGAAAAGAAAATCAGACTAACCAAAAAATTTATAACAAACGTTTGTCTACATATTGGAAAAAAAAAATACTTTGTGCAACTGAAATATTCTTCCGTGAAAATTATTTCAACATCTTGTCACGCAGGAAAACCCGATGAAATTCTCATTAATGTATATTGTATGATGCAGTGAAACTTTCAAATGCATAATTGATGTGGAGTTAATAAAAGCCAAAAAGGTAAGTTTTAATTAATACAGGGATTAACGTTAAATACGATAAAATTGAGCCTGGTAAACATCAAAATTTCGACTTGTACTATCATTTCATTTAGCTGGCAAGGGTTAACGTAAGCAACGACCTGATAAACTTTAAAGACAAATAAGCATCAAAATTTCGATACGATAGCAGGGTTATGTAAACAGTAACTTTAAATACAAACACAATATAAAAATAACGATATCGATATGCATTTTCTTGATGCTATTTTTCTATTTCGCACCCATTTAAGAAAATAATACGCCGATATGCATGCATAAGCTTTGTAATATAAAATTTTTTTTGCATTTATATGATGTTAATGAGTAAATGTCGTTGAGGTTTTTTCTGTTACATGTATTTATTTATTAGGATACATGTACATGCCATGCGCATCTTAATTTACACACATTAATGCAATATAATGACCGATTTAATTTCCTAATTACGAAAATTTGACGTAGATCTTCCAACTGACATACCGGAAAAACTAGATGAACCACTGACCCCACCACCACTACTACTAACGGCCTCGTACAAAGTCTGCGTCAATTCTTCAGCCACTTGATCCAATTGTCGTTGTACTTCGTTTGCTTCATCATTCGCACCACGTTCTCTCAAATACTTCTCACGTTTTGTTAAAAAATCAACCAATTTCTCAAGATTTTCAACCACTTCTTGTCGATTCTGCCGTTTACGAATTCGCTCCCAGTCATCCGTTTCCTCGCGTTTTCGCTTTAAATGATTAAATTCGAATTCCATTGCTTCACGCTCATGACTTGGTGTTCTAACCAGATGATGATGATGATGATGATGTGAAGGTGTGATGGGAATTGTTGTTTGTCGCACAGCAACATCAAATGAATTTGAGCCGTCGGTTACAGAGAAAATGGTGAAATTTTTGTTTGGCGTGATGTGCCATGTGTTTGGATAAGATTTTACTAATGTTTTGGTTTCTCGTATGTCAACTAATAGAAACGACTTTATTGGAATTGAAGAATAAGTGCCGCCTTTAAATGAAAAAAATTCTATTTAGAGGATAGAATAATATGTAGATTTAAAGATTAAAATAATAATGATAAGAATAATAATAATAAATACCGTCTTGAAATCGTTCATGATGTCGTTTTAAGTCACTTCCATCGATAAGCAGTTCAATTGCCCATTGCGGCTCAGAAATATAGAAATCAACAGCACCATCAACCGCAAATATTTTACCAACATCCGGAGAAATATGCATATCATCAGGTAGACAACTGTAAATGGCACGATAGAATTCCATTTGCCAAACACGTTCAAGCAATCGAACACCATCTTTTGATCGACAAAAGCTATGTGTCAAAGCTTGTGAATTAAGTCGTGCCAGTGCCTCACGCACTAAATCTTGTAGCGTAAATCCTTCTTCAAGTGGATTTTTTGTGGAAACACAACGATGAAAAAATGACAATAGACGTGCAACTGGTGACACGAAACCAACTCGCCCTTCTCGTAAGATAAATTCTGGTCCTTTATCATCAATATAAAACAAGACTCCAGCCTTCAAAAGTGCTGTCACTGCTGGATTTGGACCCGTCGAATGGATACGAAGTTCGTCCTTGAGTAATAGTTTATCGATTACTTCACCCTCTTCCTTGTTGAATTTGTAAAGCGGTGCACCACGATGAGCTTTCACGTGCTCTATGAAATCGGGTGAAGTGAAATATGACATTATCTCACTATCTGTAGTGGTCTTGTAATTTGTACCACGATAAGAAAAATAATTATCAATCCCATTCAATATCCAACGAATTAATCCTAAGTGTCCCGCCGTAAAGTCCATAATGTGTCTTGCAATCTTTTTACTAACAAAAATTTTTTTTTTTGCATTGAAATTATTGAACGCGTCAACAAGTTCAACCAATTCCGATTCCGTACATCGAACTAATCCAAATCCGTATTTTTGTTGAAAATCTACCGGGCTTTGTGCTAATGTCGCTAACCTTCCGCCAGTTGAAAAAGCAATTACTTTTATGGTATCTCGACCTAATGATCCTTGACGACATAAAGATTTAATGCGAAGCCAAAATGCTTCATATTGCTGTCCATCAAATATATGATGTGTTTCGTCTAGAATTATCACTCGTTCTCCGTGTTTCGGATTTAACCAGTATTTCCAGCTTTTTCCTGTTTCATTCACCCAAAATTCTTCAAATGGTAAATCTTCTACGCCCAGAAAGCATACTTGAATTACGGGAGTTCCTTTTTTTCGATAGTATTCTTCCAACAAAATACAAAGTGCTGTTTTCCCAGTAAATGGCGGTGCACGTATTAGAATAACGCGTTCCTGCTCAACAAATTGGTCAATTCTTTTGATTGTTTCTTCGCGACGTGTAATCCAATTCTCTGTATTTAAACTAATTCCTTCATTTTCAATTGATGGCATATTGTTGCCCTCTGAAAGAGAAACGAAAGAGCTGCTACTTCTTATTTGATTATTTAAGAGGGGATTAATTACTGTGACGCGTTCGTCTTCTTGAAAATCGCTGTTTTCGCAATTGAAGTCGTCGCCGTCAGAATAATCGTCAAAGAAATCTGGAGTATTTGTTGATAATTTTGTTGATTCGCGAGAAGATAATGTAAGTTGAGAGATTTCTGGGTGATTAATAATTTCGATAGTATTGTTTATGTTATTGCTTTCGCTATTATTTCTGTCAATGTTGTTGTTGTTGTGGTTGTGTCTTAGATTGAAAAAGCTTTCCAATTCATTACTCATTGTGAGTGCACAAAAGAAAAAGTGATAAATAAATGATAATATTTGTTTGTATTACACAAAAGATCGAGGAGTTTTCTACTCAATCCAAAAGACAGTGGTATTTGTTAACTGTAGCAATGATTTTGCTTTAGACTATTTTTCTGAACATGTTCACAGAAGCACGTGGTAGGAGTTGTTTTTTACCTTTGTTTGGTGACGAATTTGACAGCAACAACTACAACAACAACAACAACAACAACTAGGATACACTAATTAGACGAAAAAGTAGAATCTGGAAAAAACTTGATTTTCGATTCGAAGGAAAGAATAAATGGTCAAGTGGTTGGTTGAGATAATTAAAAATCTTTACAGTATTGAATTGAATATTGAACAATATCAAGTTGTTATATACAATTGTAAGTCAATTATAATTATTAATACTGTGTGCTGTATAGAATGTGACTCTTAATATATTTTTGCATTTTCAATATTTAAATTGGAATACTTCGAATCTTTTATTCTTTTACATGATTTAATGTAATCGAAATAGTTCTTCCACGTTACAGGAAAGCAATTAATTATTGTATCATCATCACCATCAATACGAAAAGATCGAGACTTGTCAACTTCCTTGATCAAAGCGTCCTGGATGCTTTGGTAGTAAAATTTTCTGTTCGTATTAAAATGATTCATCAGAATATTATTATGCAGGATATTTTTTAACAGTGATCTGATGCATGAAGATTTAATTGCCATGTGACAAGCAATGCTTTGATCGAAGAATTAACAATGCTAATTCGATAATTTGATAAAATCATTGATAAAGATTTTATATGAAATTTTGAGGCTTTTATCGCTAATAACGATGATCTTTGATCAACTGGGAACTTTAATGTTTTGCGTCAGGTGCATTTTCCCAATTATGGGTAGCATGTATAATATGTAAACTTTATGGTTTTTAGTGTTTCAAGAAAAAATACGACAACAAAGGTTGTATCCCATGCGAGGTAAGTGAAGCCGAGTACTTTATTAAACGTAAAAATTTTAATGAGATTTTATCGTTGTTTCTTTAGAACCAGTTTGATCTGCTTTCATGAACGTGACCAAATTATTCACTGTTTCCTGGGCCAAATCACTAATGTATTTTTCATTCGTCTCTCAAAATTCTTCATAATTTGTTACAAGTTTTCGATGGAATTGTAGGTTCAATTACGAATTACATTCTCGACCAGGAACTCCTCGATGACGTGCGGCATGTGTCTTGTGGCAGTCGTCAGTTCTTACAAAACACACTTTGTGGTTACAACTGCAATATGCTATGTAAAATGTCCTATTTATTATAATTGAAAGGACATCTTTCTCTGCCTAACCATCATCTGAATATTATACTTTCAGGATTTTATGCATTTAAATATTATTATTTCAGGATTTCATTTATTCAGAATATTCTTCATTAAGGATTTCATTTATTTGAAATATTATTATAATAGTAACAAAATATGCTTTAATTTTTTAGTCTTGTTAGATTATAATATTTTACATATTTCTTAATTTTTAAAATTATATAAGTTAGCAGAAGTAGTAGGCTAATAAGTGAGCAGATATTGATCACATAGTAAATTTATATATTTAATATTGAATTATTATATAAGACAAAAATAATTAATACAGTAGCAACCAAAAAGAATGCAACACTTTAATCAAATTTTTTAAATTATTATATTTTTAAAAATTTTAAAGATATTAAATTGATTATTGATTGATTTGATTTATTATATATTATAGTTTTTATTATAATAAATATAATATATATTATTAAATAGAATATTTTAAAAATTTAAAAAATATATGAATTTCACTATTATATTATTTATATTCTTTTATTAATAAATAATTTTAAAAATTATTAGAAATTAAAATTTATTAATTTTTATTGAACATTTTTACTAAACTTAATATATTAAATTATTTTTAATATTTTATATAACTTTTTTTTGCTCTTAAATTCTTGATATTGATTTAATTAAAATAGTATAAATTTTATATTAATTTCTTTTCATATCTTTTTAATTATTTCTTTTTAATTTATTTATTCAAAATTATATCAGATAAATAATACAGCTCAATATTAACTTGCTATTATAAATTTTTAATTAGATTAAAATTCAAAAATTATAACTAGTTCTTTATAAATATTTGAAATTATTATTCTATTAAAAATAATTTTATTTTTATTTAAATTATATTATTATTAATACTTATATTAATTTGTTAAATAAAATTTCTTAATATAAAATTTTATTTATTATACTATTAATCTAATTAAGAAATTTAATATTTTATAAATAAAAAATAATATTATATTATAATTTTTTTATTATTAAACTTCTTTATTAATTTAATATATAGATTTTTTAATAATTTATCTAGTCATTTTCAGTAATATTAAATATTATTCAAGTTAAAAATTTTTAAATTTGAACTTATTAATCAAATTACTTTGAATTAATCTTTAATAATTTAATTAATATAATTTTTTATAAATTTAAGCTAATATTTTTTTATAATTCTTATTTAAATATAGCTTTTTTTACTTTTATAATTAACTTATAATTTTGAAAATATAACAAATTATAGATATTAAACTTAAATATTATAATTTATATAGAAATTTTAATTTATTTCTATATTAATTAAGTAATTATAAAAAATAATAAGATTAATTTTTATTTTAATTTGTTTAAAATTAATAAATATTTATATTTTAAGTATATAATTTTCCTATTATTTTTTATTAATATAAAATAAAATAATTAATTTTATAAACTTTAACTATCTTTTTTATAAAATAAATTTTTGTAATAATTTTAATTAAATTATCTTTTTTTAGTTAGATTTTTATTTTGCACTATCTATATAACAAATTAGCTTTTATATTACTTTTCTTAAAGATCAGTTTCATTCTGGATATATAAATAATTATCTATATATTTAATATATTAGATTTAATATATTATTATATAGATAATTATTATGTACAGTATATCAAAAAAAATCAGAAATTTTAAGTTTAGTTATATTTAATTAATATTTGTTTAATTTATATAAAATTTTAAATATATATGCTTAATAATCTAGTAAAAATTTTATTTAAAAGTATTTAATAGCTTATTTTAATAAAATATTTTATAATTAATATTTTTTTATTAAATTTTTTTGAAAAAATTGATTATAAAAAATTTAAAATACTTTTTTAATTTTTTTAATCTTTTTTATTTGTTATTTAATAAATATTTATTTAAATTATATAAAATTTTAAATATATATAATTAATAATTTAGAAAATAAGTTTACTTAAAAATAATTTGTAAATTAATAATCAAATTTATTTATAATAATTCATTTAAGTTTTTTTATTATTAAAAATTTTTAATTTTAAAAATATAAATTATAAAAAATTTTAATAAAATAAATATTTAAATAGTCTTAAATAAAGTTATTTATTATACTTTCAAGTATATATATTTAAATTTTTATGTTATTTAAATAAATATTTATGAAGAAAATTAAAAATTCTGATTTTTTTGACACACTATATATATAGTTTTTTATTATAAAATATTTTATATTTATATATTATATATAAAATAAAAATATTAAATATAATCTATTATAAATATTTAAGTTTTTTATTTGTATTTTGATTAATTATAAAACAAAAATCTTAATATAAATTATAAATATATACATATAGATTTAAATGTTATTTTGATTAAATATAAAAATAAATATGTATCTGTATTAAATAATTTCTTGATTTTTGCTTATAAATATTTCTTTTTCTTTATTCTCTGAAATTCTTTAAATTTTCATATGTTTTAGGATACATATATTTAAAGTGTTATAATATTAAAATGCAAAGTACTCAGTTTTCATAAATTTTAGCATAAAATAAAAAATATCTCATCTTATAACAAGTTATTATATCAAAATTTGAAAGAATATCTTAATGTTCCATTATTATTCAATATCATGTATATTTAATATAAATTAGAAATATGAAAATTATTTTACCCAATCAAAAAACAGAACATGCATGCAAAATAGAATTTGTCATCATATATAAGAATTCCCAGCTGGTTTTTTATCCATGTTTGTAATCCTTCAAATTTTATTTTCATTTGAACCGAAACCTTGTCAAAAATTGAAAAATTTGGTAATCTTGTCGCAATTTGTTATAAATTGCTCAAGTTTCACTAGATCCGCAGCTATGCATGTGCAGCATATCATAACAAAGTAAATTACTTGTGTACGTATTTTCATATGAATGGCATTTTTTGACATTTGATGAAAAGAAATTTCTTTTCACGCATAACAAAACAAGGTGTGATAATTGAGCAATATAAATGACGTATAAAATTTGGCTTTTATCATTTTTGAACGTTACGTTAGTAAAGCAGATCCCCGGGTTTGAAGCTAATCACGTTAATTGTTCGGATGGGATCTTTTCCACAGTATGATTCACATGACGATGATTCGACTTCATTTCAGAAATGAGACAAAAAAATCCGATTTCTGGTCTTAAACCATCTATAAAGAACGGAACTTGAAGATATGATGGATCCTATACGTTTGAACCTAAGAAATAAAAGGCAAATTTCTGTTTGCCGAAATTGTTTAATATATAAAGTCTTGGATAATCATGCAACATGCTATAGCATAGTATCTCTAATAAACTTTCCCTTTTTTACTGATAAGACTAAGAATAACATAACAAATCGAATTGCTTTTTTAAGAATTAACGTCTAATCAAATCTACCGCCTCGGTTTTTCAAATATAGTGATATCCAATTACATTTATTTTAAAATAACAGCGTGATGATCTAATCTTATAATATAGAGAAAGCTCCTTGACATTGCAGTCAATTATCAGGAATTCGAAAATATAAAATACATAAATCAAAGAACAACGTAAGTTTATGTAAGGGCAAAATACATTATTAAGTGAAATGATTTTGATTAGATTGGAATATCATAGTTTGGCGTGATGAGCTTAGAAATAAATTAGCTTTTGTTGCATGTACAAACTTTTTGATTACATTGAAATTTTTAAACAAAGACGTGTTATTTCCAAGAAGTCTATTTAAACAGCGCGAAAGTTCATTTCCAAAATTGTAAAAAAGAATTTAGAGAAAATAAAAATACATTCAATACAAACACGCTACAGATACACACTTAATAAATCTACTTACCTTAGCATATCATCTTTAAAATGTCTTTCCAAAACGTCGTTTCTCAACAAGCCGTACCTGAAAATGCTACCAAGAATCATAGCAAACGCGATTCCGGTTTCGCCGAATTCTTTGAATCCGTTATTGATCTTTGTGCGAACAAATTTTATCAAGAAGAAACTTGCAGCAATGAATCTGGAAACATTCCATATTATAACTATCTTGGAAATACGCTCATCTCTAAAAGAATTATCCACAAAAACCAACCAGAAGATCAGATTATTAGCCCTCTCGAAGAAAGTTTTAAACCAGTCTCACAAGCATCCGAAATCAATATTTTTAAGAAAGAACAAGGAATTTTTCTTTATTGGCATACTTGGACCACTGATAAGAGCAGACGATTAAGTCAAAGAAAAAAGTTAAAGCAAGTAAAGCAAAACGAACAGAAAGTAGTTAAAAAAGAGAACTTTATAATGCAGATTGTTGTGCGACACGAAGATCGAATTTTGAAGACTAGAGAATCAATTCAATTGGTAATTATGAAATAAAACTTTTTTTCTATTAAAAATAGCTATTTAATAATACATACAATTGGTTGAATTAAACAGATTCAAAAGAAATTAGATGAATTTCGAGAAGAGTCAAAGAAGAACGCCGAACAAATAGAGAGCTTAATGGGTCGAATTAAATTGTAACTTATATTTGATATTCTCGGGCATTGTCGTTATTCGATTTGAAAAGCTAACTAATTTTAATATCTTTCATAGCGTAAAAGAAAAATATCGGATTTAAGTGAATAAATAGAAAATAGTGATCAATCTCCTTACTATGTATGTAAAATAAATAGATGTAAGATTTTTATAAATTATGAGCTGTACATTTAGTTTCGAAAAAATTTTATGTGTCATGTATCATGACTATTCGATAGAATCGTAGTAAAAAAATCGATAAGTGATCGAATATGCATAGAACTCAAAGTTTAATAAATTTCATCACTAATTGGCTAAAATCAATCACGTGATATTATTATATATGTGACCACAAAAAGTTATCTCCCAGTTCAAAATTATATAGTAAAACCTATAAAAAATGGAAAATTTCAAGCTATATACATATTTATGTCTTTTCTAGTAATTAGTTCTAAATTTAATATTATTTTAAAACTCATGAGTTATATTTTTAGACAAATGATTCCCAGCTGTGGACGCATGAACTGGTTTAATTATAAATCGTGAAAAAAATTTTAATATATATTTTACTATATAATTTCAAATCGGGCGATACTTTCTGTGGGTACTGGTACATCTACTTGACGATTGTTTTTACTGAAGTAAATGTAACGATCGTCAAAAAACTGAAAGATGAATGGTCCGGTGAAAATTAAAATATCGACTGTCTAAAAAAAGAATATGTGACATTTCAAATAGAATGCATATGTGTGTGTACTAATCTAGATACCGATACATATGATGATGTTATTTTTAGCAAAATAAACTTGGAAAAATTACAATACGTTTGATTATTCAATCAATAAAAATGAACTTTGAAATGTACCAAAAACATGTCATACAACGAATAGTTATCATTTGATAATTCTCGTGGTCCACGCTTTAAAATAATAGCACTACGTTATACCGGATATATACATGTATTTAACTTAAAATACGTACATGAGGTATTGAGATAATATCGGGCATTTCGAATGATGATAGACATGAGGAAAATGAAATTGAGTGGATGCAAAACAAGAAAGAATAACCCAATTCGAACCTTATTGCGACCATTATAATTAGTTCTTTTTGATATTGGCCTAATAAATAAGAAATTGAGCTTAATTGGTGAATGCATCTGTTAGTGGCAATGTTGGCATGTTTATCTATATGAACGTATGGACATATGTCAAAAAAATATGGTTATATGTCTAAAAAATGGACGTCCAATTTTCCAACATTGATTGGTGGTGTGGTGTGTCTATACAAATTTATGGTTTTGACGGCTAATTGTCTATTTTCTGACTTTATACCAGAAAATGGATTCGATTTGTAGAAATATTTAGCATCGTCATAATGATAAGATCGTTAGTAATTTAGAGAAATCAAAAATCAGTGCTAAATCATTTCGATATTTCGCAGTATGTTAAAAATCTATGTTTATTGGAATTTTTTCTCGTAATAGAACATTAAAAAAAAAACATTTGTCTAACTTTTGATTGTTCGATGATTCATGGATTGTTTAAATTGTTCAATAAGCCATTTTTCAGAAGAGAATTTGTTAACAAAAAATTACAAGGGAATTTATGATACAGTCTAAAAAAAAATTTATATTACAATTATGACAAAAAATGATCGATTAATACGTGGTGGGTTGTGTATGTGATATGTTATGTGACAAAGAAGAGGGTGAAGATGATAATATTGGCACCTCAAAAAAATCTAAAAGACGAAGAACACCGTCATTTATTATATACAAGTATGAAAATATTATCAATGAAGAAGATAATGAGTTATCAGAAGAGATGAATGTTGTTGCTGTTGGTGAAAACAAAACTAAAAGCACCAAAATTATTCGAACAATGTAAAAGAAACCAGTCACCAAGAACGCAAGGAATGTCGAATCATCACCATCATTAATCTTACTATTAAACTTTCCTAATTCCGTGGTAACTTTATTCATAAACCCTAGAAACTCAAGATCTGTTCCGACATCGTCAATGTGATGATCATCAAGATTATTATAAAAATCTATGGTCGATTTGCGTAGTGCTGATTTTCCTTGATCTAACAGGGTTAAAATTCTTTCGTTCAATATGTCATATTCGTCACTACCATTTCCGTTTTCGTTCTCGTCTTCTTGTCTTGGTTCTTCGTGAAATATAACTGTTGAGGGTGTTATTGTTTTTGAAGATGATGAAGACGTTGCCGCGGTGGTATCTGATCCATTTGAATCATCATACAATGAATATCTTGATTCTAAAAAGTCAAATTCTGTAAGCATTTCTTCTTTCTCTTGATCTATTTCATTGCTATTTTCAATTAATTTGTTCTCGCAGGTTTTAATTATTTCTTCATCAGTTATAATTAGTGATTCACCTTCTTCTTGCTCGTTAACAGATTTCAGACCCACTCGACCAAATTGAATCAATTTTGCTAATTTCAAATGGACTCCAAGTTGAAAAGTTGTTTCTTCTTGAACTCGTTCTTGTTCTTGTCGTTTCCATTCTTGTTCCGAATTTTGTCTTTCTTGAATCTTTGTTAAAGATGAGATCTTAGATAATGAAGAAGAGGAGGTAAGGTTATTTGTGATTGGTTTGTCATCATCATCATCATAGTTGTGTTGTTGTTGTTGTTGTTGTGGTTGTTGTTCCTCCTCCTCCTCCTCTTCATTTATTTCTTGTTGTTGCTGTTGTTGTTGTCGTTGCTGTTGTGATGCAAAAAGTGAAAAAGCTCCAATAATTAAAAGTGTTGGCATAATAATATTATTTAGATGAAGATTATTGTTAATAGTTTTATGAGAAGTAGAATTAGAGCCAGTGATTTTTGTAGTGGTGAAAGATGCATCGACAAAATAACAAGTATTATTTTCGTTGCTCATAAACACAAATATCAAGGATATCGCTGCAAGCAGCTTCTTAATAAATGTATTATTAAGGCTGTTGTTATTATCTATCATCTTTGAGAGGAGAGAAAAATAAAAAAGCGAAGCTTGGTAAAGAAGGAAAAAGAAAAGAAAAATGGAATAATCCTAATGCTATTAATATTTTATGTCAATTGATTGTATATGCGAGAAGATGTGAAAATGAATATAATGGGTAACAAGAGGAGCAAACCGACGACCACTAAACACCACTCGAAGATACACGACGATGAGATATCGATATATATAATATTCTCGACGAATATACACCGTGTATGTATTTGGAGCGTGTGTTGAGTCGGTTCTACCTTTGAGTTATAAATATCCGTCTAGTAGTTTGAGAACTTTTTCACTCTTTTTAACTTTGAAATGAATGGATGATGATGATGATGATGATGATGATTCAACAGTGGGGTTAAAAAAATGAAAGAGAAATAGGTGGTTAGTGGATAGAAGTAAAAGCAATAAAAAAACGTGGAATTCTAAATAGTCAAATAAATAAATAATTAATTAAATCAACATCTCCTCCCTAAATAAGAAATACTTGTCTTACACTCGTTCTCTACTTATACAACAATAACATATTCTTTTATTGGCCGATCGGCTTTTTTTCTGTCGTACTTTTGTTACTCTCGTTCATGTGTCTTTTTGTCCGCCGATTGATATTGTGAACACGAAACAACAGAGTAAGAAATTCTACTGTCGCTTATTCATTGTTATTTTTTTATGCATGTATAAACAACAATAATTAATAAAAATGACGCGTATAATAATTTTAAAACAAAGAGAGCATAAATAAGTTTTGTTTTATATATTTGCTGTTTAGACTCCCTTAATTTTTGGTGATTCTCTTTCATGTGTTTGTTCTTTTTTTTGGTATTCAATAATCATATTTATTGTGGACATTTTTTTATATAAATACACGTGTCATCATGTATTTAATTTTCACTTTACTTTGTAAACTTAAAGAATAAAAGAGAAGAATTATTTGACCACTTCTTTAATTTTCATAGGTTTTTGGTGAAAATCATGGTCACACGTTATCACGCAATTGTTTCGGATTTTCGAAGGCTCGAATTAGTATTGTGTATATGTAGTAAAAGAACGAAATTTAACTAAAAATCAACATTTCTACAAGTTCATCCCCCTTTCTCGTCCAAGTAATGTAAGTTTCAAATTTTGGGTTAGGAACTTTATGTATATCAAGCTGATCACGCTAGATTTAAGCAAATTCAACATGATATCTGGCATATGATAGCTCGAAACTAGGAACAAGATAAAGTGTGCTGTTCGAAATCATCATATATTATTTTTTTCATTACCTCAATTTCTATTTCGAATGACGTGAGCTTCTTTATAGAATATGCACAAAGCAAAGCGTAGATTAAATCATAATATATGTGCTTCAAAAAATACGAAGCCGTAATAACTCGTTATGGTGTAAACTTTTTCCAGAAGAGATTAATATCCAAGTATGAAGGATTCACCAAAGTACATCAAATGTATCGAAAAGTCAAATTATTGGGAAAGGATTGGATTGGTCTCAAGGAAAATTTGGTGCATTGGTGATGATCTAATTGTAAATGGTAATCATGAGGGATTTATGTTTTCGGTTTCTTAACTGATTCCTATTTAAGGTTTTAATAAATAAAAAGTAAAATAATTCAACGTTTCACATGTTAATTTATGCGCATAGTTTTTATCATAGTAATTAATTCCAATTAGAGTTTAGTGCAGATTCTTGAAGAAAAAATAAAATAACGATATATAAATTAGTGATATCATTATTTATATGATTATTTTTTTGAATTTACTGTTCATTCTCTTCCAGGTGCGTATCATGAAGATATTGTAAATTATCACAATACTCCTTATACTAATTTGTATATATCCTGATCTAGCATGTTAAACAAGAATTATTGAATTGGAATAGAATAAGAAACTATTATCATATCAAGTATCTCTCATGCAAGAAATTTAGAATAATAGATATAATTTTGAATGATTTACTAAAAAGAAATGAATTTTAAAATCAAGTTAATTTCTTTGAACAATTTAATCAATAAGATCAAATATATAATAGAAATTCTTGCAATTTATAATTTTAAAAAAAACAAATTTATTTTTTAAAATAATTTTATCAAATATTAATAATAAATTATTAATAATATATTTGATAAATATTAATATTTTTAATATAAGAAAGCTATTAAATTTAACAAAAAACTTTTTTTATATTTTATAAAAAAAGCTTATTAATTACTTTTTCATAATAAAACTAGTTAAATAAACTATTTTGAATTAACTTTATTATTTCTTAAATCATTTAGCAAGTAAATTTATCTGTTAAATTATTTTAAATTTATTTTTATGTATTTAAATTGACTTTATTATTCTTAAATCCTTTAACAAGCAAATTTATCTGCTAAAATTTTTTTAAATCTATTTATTCAAAATTTTTTAAGTTAATTTCTTATTATTTTTAAGTTAAAATAAAATTATAAGATATAGTTAATTAATATAATTTAAAATTTATAATTTAATTTATAATTTACTAAAAATATATAATAAATTTGACTTATTATAAAGAAAAATTAAATTTTTTTTAATTAAAATAGTTCTTTATAATATATTTAAATTAAAATTATTTAATAAATTTAGAATAAAGAATTTTATTAATTATTTATATTACTAGATATTTCTTATAATATAAATTTATTTTAAATTATTTAGTATATATAATAATAATCAAAAATAATAACTTAGAAACTAAATTTATTAATAAATATAGTGAAAATTAAAATTT